CTCCCCCAGCCCCTGGTCCCCTGGCCCAGGTTACCTAGGTATCAGGGTAGAGGCAGATACTGGACTCAACCCTTCCTCTACTATATTAGATTCAGCCTGGTCAGAAGTACAGAATAGCTACTGGTTGGATAAGATATCTCTGGGGCCCAGATCCTGTACCTTGCTGGGCTGAAGGTGACCCAGGTACAAAAAGGTCAACGTACAAAAAGAAGCAATTTAGGTCATGCACAGTATCTTCAAGGAAGCAGAGATCTAGGATTTGGCTCTAGCCTAGACTAACGTGCTCAGAGGGAGAGGCTGGTTGAGATAGCACATCACTGGGTCCTTCTAGGCAACTGTGGGTACTCTGGGAGGCTGGGCTCACCTTTTGAGATCTCTGCATGTAGACCAGGTGACATTTGGTTGGGGCATGCCCTGCCCACGACAGCGGATTGTCTGCTCCCCATTGGCAGGGTGACTCTCACTCAGCTCTAGCACACGGACAGGGACTGAACAGTGAGGGTACAGGGTCAGAAAATGATCAGACCAGGCTACAGGAAAGGCCCTCAAGAGAACTTGCTCCAGAGTCTCCCTGCAGATGAGCACCAGGAGTTACAGTGTGAAGAGTGACAGGTTCCCCTAGGGACATTTCAAAGGGCAGGGCTCAGTAGCAGACTAGTCTATCTTTAAAGTCACTCTGAGAGAACAGGCTTGGAGCCCAGGGCCCTGGGAAGCCAATATCATAGAGCTAGGGTTTAATAGCATTGCTTAGTTCTCTCTGAGTCTATTTTAGTGGTGGTTTTAAAATTATGGCATATGACACCGAGTTTCCATCTGTAATTGAGAGGCTAAATTTTGTCTTTCAAAATAAATTTATTTTTAGCAAGCTAATTGATAAAATGTTGTCATTATCATGTCATTTCTATGCTCAACTCCCTGCCATGGCTCTTCATGTCAGTCACAATAGAAGTCAACGTTGTACCAAGCCCACAGGCACTTACACAACTACCCCCTACACCTCTACCTTGACCTCATGCCCCTCTACACTTCAACTGCTCTGTTCTGGCCCCACCCACCTTCCTGCTATTTCTTTGACAATGTGACAGGGGCGCATGACCTGGGATACCCTCTCCTCAAAATGTAACAAATGTAAACCCTTAATGAGATCAACCCTCATCACTATAGTTAAAAGTACAACCCTCACCATCTGTTGTGCCCAGCTCCCACTCCTTGCCCACTCTCTCCCTCTCTTGCTCCCTCCCTCCCTTCCCTCCTCCCTCCCTCCCTTCTCCTTTTCTTCCTCCTCCTCTTCCTTTTCCCTCGTACAGTACTTGTTATTTTCTGACCTGTGTCATTTGCTAGAAAGTCCTCCTTTACTACTTGCTGTATCCCCCATTAGGATACAAGCTGTGCAAAAGCAGAGCCTCAAGAACTCTAAACAGACTGCCATATTATAATTGTTCAATAAATATCTATTGAATTAATGGCTCAGCGTGAACCATATGTGAGAGGGATCATTATGGTATTGGTGCATGAATAGCTGAGGTTTTCAGAAACATGAGTAAGCTGATGGCCGTCTTTGACAGTGGAAGAAACTAAGGCTCAGAGATGGGAACATGGCAAGTCAGCAGCCTAGAACCCAGCCTCCTTGGTTCTAGACCCTCTCTCCAGTCCCTCCCAAAGGTGGTTGGGCAGGGAAGCAAGGGAGAGGGGCTGGGTGGGAACGGAGGGAGGGAAAAGGAGGTAATCCTCACCATTGACCTGCAGCTTGAAGGAGAGCTGGGCCTCAGCATCCTCATGAAAGACCCTCATGGTGTAGTAGCCAGCCTCTGCCACCTTCACCCGCACCAGGGTCAGTTCTGACACATATCTAGAGAACAAGCAAGGCCAGAGAAGTGCCATCAGAACGGCAGGAAACCTACAGCCCTCCTTGCCCTCCTCTACAAGGCCCAGGGAAGGTGAGGGAGCAGAGCCAGCCTTCACACCTAGTCTCCTGAATCCCCATTCTGCTGAGCCAAGAGGAAGGCTTGGGAGGGTTGGGGTGCATGTCCTTCCCTCCAGGCTATCACTTTCAGAGGGGCACAGTCCTGTCGGTCTGCTGGTCTCTTCTAGTGCTTTTCCTTTAGGCTGCCATCTGTTGGCTCCATTCATCACAAAGGAAACTAAACATCTAAGTGGCCATCCCACTAGTGTCTCTCTCCCCCACAGGTCAGACACCAGGAGGTCCCTCTAGTGTCCTCAGGCACCTGGCACGAAGTAGATTCTCAGACAGGAAGGACCTGATACCTTCGTGGGTATCTGAACGCCCTGGATTGCTCGGTAACGGCAAAGCTTCCAAAACGAGTGGAACCTGCTCACCGAGTTTCAGATACGTTGCGCGTGGACAGGGCCATCTCGCCGGCGCTGGAGTCACTCAAGGTGTGGTTGTCTTTAAACCACAGTACAGTGGGCGGCGGGTAAGCCTCGAACACCACCTGCAGTGTCCGGCTCCGGTGCAGCTTAGCAATTTGTACAGGACCCAGCGTTCTCAGCAGCCGCACGTAGCCACTCTCTGTTAAGGTACAGCAGTTGGGGGCGGGCCCTGGAGGCGGGGCTGTGCCTGGCCACCAATCGAGGAGTGCCTCCCAAAAGCTGGGCTCCAGGTGTCAGGACACAGGCTAAATGTCAGGAGAGCACCTTCTCAGACAGGGCCTCTCCGGACTTTGGGAATCAGTTGAGCAACCAGTTGAGCAACGGGGCTGACTGGAGCAGGGTCAGATTTTGGTGTTAGAACCAGTTGTGAGGTTGGACCTGGAAGTTGCAGTTCTCTGTTCCGGCTCCATATTGCACACAAGATACACTGGAGCCTCCAACTAGTGGTGAGGTTGAATTTGGGAATGGGAATGTCTAGGCTGCGATGAGAGTTGGGATTAAACTACGGTTCTGGCTAAATGGGAAATCTAGGTTAGAGGTTAGGGCTGAATTTAGGACTGACACTGCACTTTGATTTGGGTCATATCTTGGAACTGGGGTTTGGGCTGGCACACTGCCAAAATCTGGTCCAGCTCAGGGTGGGGTTGGGGGCTGAGTCCAAGGTACCCACCGACCACAGTGATGTTGATGGACTTTTCATCTCCATGGTCATTTGCACTCACTGACACATTGCAAGTGTAGATCCCAGAGTCATTCAGCTCAGCATTGGGGATACGCAGGATGGAGCCAATGCGAGAGGGCATTTCAAATAAGTAGTCTGTCACTGGCTCCACCAGCCTCCCACTCTGCAGGGACAAGTCCCCAAATCAGAAGTCAGTCTGCAAGCTGAGATGTCCATCCTACCCGGCCCCTCCTCCAACCCCTGGCCCAGAGTTACCTCCATGCGAGGGTATGTCCACTTGAAGTTGACCACATCATTCCCAGTCACGATGCACATGATGGTAATTGTCTCACCCTGGCGGACAACAGTCTTCACTGCATTCACAGAGACATTGATGGATGACACTAGAAGCAAGGAGGGACTGCTTAGGGGTGAGGAAGTAACCTAACCACCAGCAGTCAGTTTGGGAATGGGAGAGGTCCTCAGGGAAGAGTTGGTTAGTGTGAAAGATACATTCATTCTTTCCACCAATGCTGATAGAATAATTACTATGTGCCAAGTACTATTCCAGGCATGGGACTAAAGAAGTAAACATAACAGAGAGAATCTCTTTCTTCATGGAATTGACATTCTAGAACAGTCTGGAGGTCAAAATCCTTTAGGGATCTAAATACAAAGAAGTCTACCAAGCATTTATCACATGCTAGGCACCTTTCCTCTATTTTACCTTCCCCAAATCCTGTGAGGAAGGAAGTCATCATTATCCTCCGTTTATTGGTGAGGATCAGGCTCACAGGGGAGCAATGTGCCCTGTGCAAAGTTGCCTAGGTGGGGCATAGCCAAGCTGGGATCCAAACCCAGCTAGTGCCAAGCCTGTGCCTTTGTCCCTCACGTTATGCAACCCAGCTCAGTCCCTAGTGCACTGTTCCTGGTCAACTTTATCCTCTCTCTGAGCCTCAGTTCCCTCAGCTACAGGATGGAGAGAACACTACTCCCTTCCAAAACTGTAGGTAGAATCCAGTGAGGAATGGAGTCGTGCACTTGGTAAACCGAGGGGCTATTCCACTGTGAAGGGCCAGAAAGGGGGCTCACCCTGGAGGCTGTAGACATAGTAGGTATCGGAGTCCACTTCCCTGTCCCCGATGGTGGTTTTGCAGATGTAAGTCTTGTCCTCAAAGGTGCCAGTGAAACCTCGCTGGTGGTCATAGGGGACATGTAGAGGGATGTCTACTTTTTTCTCATGCAGTGTCACCTCCAGGTGGGGGTCTGTCACTCGGCATGGAATTATTGTCTCAGTTACTTCCGTGACAAAGACGAACAATTCCTCAGGGTCCACAGGAAGGAAGCCCATGGTGGGATCTGACAGTAGAGCCAAAACCAAGTCAAGAAAACTGAGTTTCTAGTTATCCTGTGAATTGCTGTGCTTTTAAGCAAGTCTCTTCCCCTCTCTGGCCCCCAGTCTCTCCAACACAGAATAAGGATGTTGCTATAGTTCTGATGTTGGTTCCCTCCAAACTGCATTGAAAAATAATTGTCATTTTGGTAGGACTTTTAAGAGACAATTGTGAGCCCGGCCTGGTGGTGAAGGTCTATAATTCCAGCTACTTGGAAGGCTGACACAAAATGTTAGAGGATTTGAGGTATGTCTGAGCTACAGAATGAGTTCAAGTCTGGCCAGAACAACTTAGTGAGATTCTATCTCAAAAAAAAAAAAAGTTAAAATAATAATAATAGGGAGGAGAAGGGCTGAGGGTGCAGCTCAGTGGCGGAGGCCTTGCCTAGGATGCACAAGACCCTGGGTTCAATCACCAGAACCAGCAAGAAAAAAAAAAAAAAACAGAGGAGAGTACGATTAGGTCATGAGGGCTTCATCGATTAATGCTGTCAGGAAAGGTTCTTGAAGTTCAGCCTCTTCTTACTCTTTCTTGCTTGTCTGCCTTTTCCACAACCTTTGCTGGGGCTGGGGATGTAGCTCAGTTGGTAGAATGTGTGCCTACCACACATAAACTAGGGGTAATGGTGCATGTCTGTAACCCCAGCACTAAGGTGGTGGAGACAGGAGGATCAGAGGTTCAAGTTTATCCTTGGCTATATAATGAGTAGACATTGCCTCAAAATAAATGAATAAATAAAGGAAAAGAAGACACCCAGTGGATGGGAATGAGCTGGATGCTGTGCTCTGCCTGCATGTCAGATGGCTGCATCTCATGATGTCAGTGAGGCACTCTTGGAGCTTCATCTGTTGCTATGCTGCGGAGATGGAGGGTGGTGCACAAGGTGAGTGCCCTTACCTGGCACGAAGATGTAGATACGTTTCCGCTCACTGAGCTCTGGTCCTAGGGAGTTGTTATAGGCACAGAAGTATTCTCCAGTGTCTCCCCCAGTAACATTAGTCAGTGTCAGCATGCTGGAGAAGTTGCCATCCTGGGTCATGGCCACTTTCTGAGAGGGTACCTGGGACATCTGTTCCCACATCACTGGAGCTGAACCCGAGCAGGTCAGAACAAAAGTGCTGGAGATGTTGAGGACAAGCTGTGGCCCTGGGGGTGTGATGACCAGGGTCTGGGAGGACTGTGGTCCCAGCAGCCATAGCAGAGGCAGCAACTGCAACTGGCCTTTGGGGCAGGAGGGGTTACATGTCAGGGTGCACAGAACTTAGCACCTCCCCTAGAGCTGTCTGTCTTGTCTCCCCCAGCCTGTCTGCATAGCTCCCAAGTCCTTAAAGAACACACCTCCATATTTAATATAGGTTGCTTAACCACTGCCAGCCCCGCAGAGGCTCCTGTCCTGCCTCTGAGCCCTTTGGCCGTGCAGCCAGCAGGCAGGAGAAAGGGGCAGGAAATCCTGGGGAAGCAATTCCCGGGCCTCTAATTCCTGCATTGCTTCCCAGGTCATCCTGGATCTCCTCCCTGTAACTGCCCGGGTTCCTGTGAAGCCCACCTACAGGTGACCTACTTAGGAAGGGGGTTCTCAAATAGATTTTATTTGGGGAAGACTGGGGCCAGAGAGATGCTGAGCCCTGGAGGCTAGCAAGATCAAATGGGGGGTATTTAAAGTATACATGTGTCAGATGATTGGTGTTGCCTCCCGTGACATCCTCTGGGGGAGTATTTGAGGAAGCTGAGATGGTCACCACTATATACCAGTGTCCACAGGGAGAATTTTATAACCAACACCTCCACATTATCTGATGATGAAAATCAGGACAGGTGCAGTCAGTCAGCAGGGCCATCAGACAACAGTCTGCTGGTCAGGCCATTGGTTCATCACTTGTTACTTGAGCAACTGCTGAGTCCCTAGAGAGCTGAAGGCAGGTAGCCAGCCAGACTTAAGAGAGAGGAGACTGGGGTATCTGCCAGAGGGTGCAGTGGATACAGAAGGACAAGCAAGGAACTTGAGCTGATAGTTCCAGACAAGGAGTCCACTGAAGGTATCCAAACTGATGGGGCGGGCAGTTGAAGGAGGCCTATGCAGAGACCCTCTCCAAATACAGGAAACTGAGACTCAAAAGCACTGCAAAGCTTCTGGACTCTATGCCCTTGGTGCTAGCGAGCACCACCGCTGGCTCCCTGGGGGCTCCCTGGGACCCTCACCCCTATCCCCAGTCTACTTACCTTTGAGGATCAAAGCTGGCATCACACCTGGAAGCCCCATGATGCCCTGTAGAGTTAAGTAGGGGTCAGGGCCCAGTGTGGACAGAGGCCCACCATAGTGCCTGGTTCCTGCAGAGTCAGTTCTGCCTGGGCATCTAACCTTCCATCAGTCAGTTCTGCCTGGGCTTCTAACCTCCCATCTATCCTAAGGCTGGAAGGACACCCATGTCCCCAAGCCCTCTACCCTCTGTTGCAACTCTCATGTGGCCTTGATTGTACCCTTTGCCTCTGGGCCTTAGTTTCCCTGTATGTTACAATGGGGGCAGGGAATTTGGGCTAGTTAGTGTCCAGGGGCCTGCCAGCTCTGATACCCTGTCCTCCAGTGACAGTTCCAATACCACACACTTATCTGCCAGGACAAATATTTGGGAAAGTGTGATGAAAGGCCTGGAGGAGAAGGAGGGGGTGAGGCAGAACCCAGAGAACTCCCACAGCTCTCTCCACAAGCACAACAGGAAATGGGGCGGCTGTGGGAAGGGAAGCGGGGGAGTCAGGGCTGTGGAATGTGGGAGTGGGCTGACCCCCCTACTCAGCACAGAGCAGCACAGGAAGCCCAGGGGAGAGGGGAAAGGGTCCTGGCCCCATCTAAGTTAGCGGGCTTTGAAGGTCCTTGGAGACCACTGAAGCCAAGCCTCCCACCTCCACCTTCAGGGTCCATATGGGGAAACTGAGGCTCTGGGAAGAGAAAACATTTACCAAGGTTCCTAGCAGAGTTTATTTAAAAGGGAGACAGAGTTGAATGGTGGGAGCAGAGAAAGACAGAGATAGTGAAACACAACGTTGGAGTAGGGACAACAGTAGGAACATAGAGACAGACACTCTGAAACGGGTAGGTCTTTGCTCCGCCTCTCAGTTCAAATAATCACCAAAAGCCAGGTATAGCAAGGGGCTGCCTACAGTCTTGGTAAGAAGGAGGCCAGAGGTGGATGAGGATCACATAGGAGGTGATGATGTGACAGGCAGCAAGGCACCTCCTGCTACTGTGGGAATGCCCAGCCTGGTCATGCCCACTCTTGCTCAGCTTGCCTCCACCTCCTCATTGCCCTTTCTAGTTTCCTGCCCAGCACTGCGGAGTTAGGTCTGAGCCAAACGTGCATGCTTGCTTCCTCTTATGCTATGGCTGTCTCTGTGAGCCCTCCAACTCTCTCAGTGAGGGGATGGCGAGTGGACCACAGGTGAGGACCATAATCACTCATGATAGGGAAGACCCAGGCAAGTCCTACCCCAGCTCTTCCCAATGCCCTGAGAAGCAATCTGAACAAATCTCCTCCTCCCCCCC